TGAGCTGCTCTTCACTTTTTTTGCCTTTCTTTCTCTCCCTGGCTCTTCCTTCCCCTTCCTCCTCCTCCTCCTCCTCCTCCTCCTCTCCCTCCCCTCCTGCTGCTAATCCCATTTGATGGCGATGTCTTTCCCACTCCAATCCAGAGAAGAATGTCTTCAGCATTCCTGCTATAGAGAAAGAAAGAAGAAAAAAAAAAACACTCACCATCTCACTTGGACAGAAAGAGCGAAAGGTGGAGGAGTGGGGAGATGAGGGAGGGAGGGAGGGAGGGATGGATGGAGGTATACGGAGAAAAGCAGGGCTCGCTGATTGTGGAGAGCCCTCCACCTCAACTTGGATATGAAATATGAGCCCAGAAAGAAAGAAAGAAAGAAAAGTAGGACAGGGAGAAAGTGGGTGAATGGAGCAGCCGTGAGCTGTTGATGTAGCTGGAATAAGAGAAACGGTCTGTGCTACGTTTTAAAGCGAGAGGAGGGGGGGAAGGAAAACAGTCTGGTTCTGTTTTATGTGGTGTGTGTGCAATTAGAGCCAAAGAGAAGGGGTAGAAAGGGGCGGGGGGGGGGTACCCAGGGAGGAGAGGGGTTGAAAATAAGTTAAGGACAGCAGGAGAACAAAGGCTGAGGGAGAACATGTCAGCTGACTGGGAAAGAAAGTGCTTGAATGGAAGCTGCAGACATGGAATAAAAGACTTTTTCATATGTGAGACATATTGGATCTGGTGTGTTCCCTGCAGCAGCAGCAGCAGCAGCAGGGGCAGGCTGGTTTCAGACTGTGAGATTATGTTGAAGCGTTGGAGGAAACCTGGTCTGCTTTCTGTTGTCAAAGTCGAGGGAGGCTCACATGGAGAGAAGGAGGGAGTCAGGAGGATAAAGACACAGACTGAGCCTGAGAATTATCACATATCAGCATCATCCAGCTTCTGTTTACGTGTTTCCTCAGGTTTCGTCTTTATTCCCTGCGTGTACATTCAGAATCATTTTGTTTTAACTTGTTATGAAAGTGGATCCAGCGAACAGGAGAGTCACAAAGTTTCACAGCAGATCAGTGTGTGTGTGTGTGTGTGTGTGTGTGTGTGTGTAGGAGTTTGATTGATGGATGTAAATGTTTCGACTTCTCCGTAAATGTTTACGAAACATGACACATCCACACAGTCAGGACAGTCTGACAGTCTGATCGTCATCCATCAGCTCAGTCACTCTGTCAGATCGACAGTGTGTGTTCCTGCTCAGGGGCATCAGACAAGTTCGTCGTGACGCACTGATGAGTGATGATGCAATGCAAACAAGGAAGCCGTGAACCAGGTGTGTGTCAGGTGTGTGTAGGCGCAGAAAAGACATGGTGTGTGAGTGGTAAACAAGTGAAATCCATATTTTCCCATAGAGCATGGTGATTACGATGAAGTCACAGTCTGTAGCAGTAGGTGTGTGTGTGTGCGTGTGTGTGTGCATGCCAATCCCAGGCAGGGTTGTGTTTGTATTTTAGGTGTGATACTGTTTGGATATGTATCATTTACAAACGACAAGGTCGTGCTGTTACTAAGCCACAGGTGTTTGCAGAAACAAACCTACAGAGGTGTAATGCAAACACACAACGAGCCTATAGGCTGAAAGTATCCAGAGCTCCTGTTAAAGCTGCTGCACGACCTCGACGATGCCTTGTCCTACGCCTCTAATCTGACTTGTTCTGTTTATACACACCTACAGACTTTCAAACAGAACAGCCGCGGCCTCAGTTCCCCTCATGTTGTTGTTTACAGGAGGAAACCCCTCATTAGTGGCGATGTACAGTCAACGACTTCCTGTTCTCCCCCTCGCGCGCTTCCTGTCATCAGCTGACCAGCTCTAATAAAGCGGCCCCGTCTTCTCGGGGGCAGCTGCGGAGCCGAGGACGGCTCCCGGACGGAGCAGTGGACGGGGTTTCTCACGCACCGCGGGTCGTTACTGCTCCGGAAGCACAAACGAGCGGCGCTGAGTAAACGCGGCCATTTAAGATGTTGAGGTCTTCATTTATTAAAGCAAGATGCTGCTGGTGAAGTCCCACTGCGTCTGGACTGATACATCGCGGGGCTGTAAAACACACTTTCAATTAAGTTACTGTCAAGCTGTTTACTGAGCTTCTCCACCAAGAACCCAGACACAAACCTACTCCAGGCCAGATTGTCTCTTGGCCTTTTCTCTCTCTCTGCCCCTGTAGAAGACTTCCTGCCTGAAGGAAAGACTTGACTCCGAGGCAACGACAGAGAGAGGCAGAAGAGTAATACTGTGTTACAGTTGGAATGACGGACGCAGGAGCCGGAGCGTTTTCTCTCAGTAAAAGCACGGCGCTCTGTGGGCCAGTTGGCTCCGACCAGAACAGCAAAACACAGGGCCGTTGGCATGGCGACAGAGGAACACTTCCCTCCTAGTTCAGTGTGGCTCCACCGCAGAGAGAGAGAGAGAGAGAGAGAGTGATGTAGGCCCGCGCTCTGCTTCTCAGGCCATTTGTAGATACAGTAGATTATAATCATTTGCACAGGTTTCAGTGGGGGGGGGGGTTGTTCTGTGTCAGAGGAGACAGTTGGGATGAAAAGGCCGGACGGAGCGTGCACCGTGTGGTCAGAGAGGCTCGAGGCAGCGCACTCCTGCAGGGTCACAGAGTCTGGATGACCCCCCCCACCCCCCCACCCCCCCGGTCCTTGATGTAAATCCTTAAGTGGGCCATAAAACTGAAAATAACAGCAGCTGACCTTTTCATGCTCGTGCAAACGTCTGAACGGGAGTCAGAGCTGATCTGACTAAATTAGAAATCCATTAGTTTGAGCAGCATTTCGATGGAATTCAAATGTCATGTCGGTGCATGTTAACGTGGATGGATGACTTGAATGTGACGACTTCCACGATAAGGGATTTCTTGAGAGAGCGGGAGTGTGTGTTTGTGTGTGTGTGTGTGTGTGTGTTATGAGGTGATGAATGGAGGGGCTTGTTTAGCTGAGCTGCTTTATATAGAAAGTAAAGAGCGCTTTTTAAGGCAAAGGGATGATGTCAGTTACAGCTGGATAACATCCACTCTGCCTCCTGCTCAAACACACTCAGAGAAAGAAGAGAGACGTGGAGAAAGAATTCAACTCACTTCTAAAGCACAATAGTCTGTGTAAGAAGGTGTCGAAAACACGGGTTGAAAAAACGCTGAGAGGGTCTTTCGAGGTCTTTCATGCTGAGGCAGTAAAGCGCTGAGAGGGATGAGGCTGCGAGGAAATGAAGTGTGTTTCCTCTCTGCTGGAGCAGACGGGCAGGGTGCTTCTGCCTGACGCTCCGAGAACACCGCCAAAAAAGGAATCAAACCGCTGCAGAGCGCCGCGAGCCTCGCGAGCTGCCAAACTATTCCTGTAAAAGCACTCTTTTGGTGGAGGCCTGAACAGGAGACCTTTGGGGAATGTAAAGAAAAATGTATACAGAGAGGAAGAAAGTAGAGGGGAGGGGGATGGGTGGGGGAGGGGCCATACTGAATCGATGGTGTGCTCTTGGATGATCACAATGATTTTGGGCACGTGACGTCTCCTCTGGAGGGAAGAGCAATCAGTCATGTTGCCGTTGGACTCTGGTGGTGGATTTGTTCCACTCTGCTGCAACTGTCAGTTTTGTGGGAGTCACTGGTGTTGTTTGCACATGAATACTGGGGGGGGGGTCAAAGGGAGGGGCTCTCTGTGCATTGTCGCAGATGAAAAATAGTCCACTGATTATTCTACATCTGGAAGCGATTTGGGCACGTGAACTCGGTGGACTCCTGACAACATGCACCGCTGGGATGTACAGTATATTCTGACTGCGCTGCCTGTGAAGAACTCATCAGTCTCACATACACATAGCTGTATACTCTGAAGGTTTATAACTTCAACCTTTCCCAGAGACCCGTGTCCTCCTCCTGCTCCTCCAGGAGAGCTTCTGAGCGTTCACTTCAGTCTTGTGGTTTTGAAAGTTAGTCCTCTTTAAAACCCTCCCGGTGCATGTAAAGTTTTCTCCAGCAAAGTGACGAGAAAAGAGGAAAAACTCCAGATTTGGAGAGTGATGACACAACAGAAATTTCTAGCCTCCCTCTCTCCCACGATGACATGACAAGTCAGTGAATCAACCGAGCTGGGGGAGAGGCTGGACAACCACACCTCTGTGAAAAAACACAATACTTCATCATCAGGACCCGTCCCTGGCAGGAAGACACCGTGACATTACATTTTGTGTTTTTATTTTCATCACAAAGCCGTTCAGATCTGCTGAGCCACACCTCGACCGCGTGTCTCACTTTTCCCGTTTCACAGATAGAAAAACATCATATCTGAGCCGGGCCTCTGCAGCAGAGCGGTTTACAGGCCGTCAGGGTAAACGGCTGCTCTGTTCAACAACAGGAACCGAGCCGTTTCCCTCAGTGTTGCACTTATCTTCTGATTCCTTTACCATACTGGGCGCATTGTCAACAGGCTGGCTTTTTAACAAGTCTTTGTTAGAGGCTGGAGGCTGATAACCTATCAGTCTGTGCTGCTGCTGCAGTGGTTTCCTTCCCTCAGCTCACACCATCACACACACAAATTGTCCACATACCACTGACTGAACCTCAGGCCTGACAGGCTATCACCTTCAGACCAGAGGAAAAACAGCTCACTCTAAGTCCTGTTGAAAACAGACGGCCTCGTGCTGATCATCGAGCTGTCATCTTTAATAACGAACATCTTCACACCGGCTGCGTTTCTGCCTCTCAGCGCTTTGATTGGCATTTTAACTCTCCATCGATTAAGCTCACATCTGGCATCCAACCTTCTGCCAGTTGTGTTCAGACTACAGTTGGATGGAGACCAGATGATGGTGTCATGCAGAAATTGAAAACAGCCGCATTGCTTTTGTAACATTTTTATAAGTGTGTTACCTCGTTACAGATCCCCCCCCACCCACCCCCCCATAGAGAATGAAACTGCCTTAAGAAAACTTGAGACGACTTTAGTTTCTGACGCCTGTCTTCTTCTTCTCTGCAGGAACGCGTTGCAGCTGAAGCAGCTGCAGGAGCAGATTCTGTTGGAGCAGCAGGAAGCAGCCAGCTGGCAGCAGCAGAACCAGGAAGTCCCACCTTCACCCCAGGAAGTGCCTCCACCTGCTCCACCATCTCCACCTCTCCCTCCTCCTCCCTCCTTCCAGGAGCTGGAGAGCAACGTACCGACCATGCAGGCCAGCACCTTCAACTACGCCCGGCCCAAGCAGTTCATAGCTGCTCAGAGCCCCGGTGGGCCGGGCTACGTCACCCAGTCCTCTGGCTCCTCGGGGTCCAGCCTGTCCTCCCCGATGTCTCCTCCCACCTCGCACAAACCCTTCACCAGGGTCACCGTGCCCCCCTTCACCAAGGCCGGCAGTGTGGAGTCTCCGAGCTCTCCTTCCTTCCCGCCTCCGCCTCCGCCCTTCCTCAGCTCCAGTAACCTGTCCTCTCCAACGGGCCCCGCCCAAGACTTCCCACCTCCCCCGCCTCCTCCTCCTCCGCCCATGTCCATGTCTCCAGCCCACTCAGACATGTCCTCTCCATTCTCCTCCGTCCCTCCGTCTCCAGCCTCCAGCTTCCTGTCCTCAGTGTTGCCCTCCACACCGGGCAGTCCCACGGTCAACGCCCTGGGCCTTCCTAAAGGCAACGGGACTGTGTAAGTATCCCTCACCTACACACTCATACATACAGCGCTTTCTTTACGGCGCCGGACAGGTTACGTAACATTTTCTAACTCCTCTACACACAGCGTGTCTCAGATAAACCTGCCTGCAGCTGGAGGCAGGAGGCTGAATGTCTGCTGCAGGATGGACGATGACATGTTTACATTTTTTTACAGCATGTTTACAGGAAAACGTAAACTAAAGAGCCCGTTTTCTCAACACACACACAAAACCCCCACGTCTAGACACCAACATGCTCTCAAGCTGCAAGAGCTCTAGCCCCCATGAGGCAAGAAAATGTGCTCGAGGACCTCAGAGTGAAAGGTGTCAAATAAACACTCTGTTCTGTAGCTTTCATATATGTACATATGAGTCTTGTGTCCTGCCTGGATCTTGACTCGGGGCTCTGCCTGTTGAAGTAGATGATAAGAGTCTGTTGTTGTGTAGATAATCCTCCTCTGATGGCAGCCCTGGAGAGTGAAATTAGCTTTTTCTCCCCTCCATCAAGGACATTCCTCCTTCAACTCTTTGCCAGTCATTTTTCATCACTCCCCCTCTCACGCTGGCATTCCTGCTGCGGTGGAGAGAGATAAGAAGACACACTGTGGAATGCTATAGCTCGGCAAGTCCAGATAAGGGTGGAAACGAGAGAGAGGGAGAGAGAGAGCGCCAGAGAGGGAGCGAAGGAGCTGGAGAGGGAAGAGGAGTTAAGATAATGCCCTGTGTGCCACCACTTTAACGTTGACGAATGTTTCTGTTTTGTCCCCCCCTTTCAGCAAAGCGTTCCCCAGGAAGTCCTCGGGCAGCAAGACGCCTCGCCTCGCCTCGGACTCCGACATCCAGGGATCCAAGGACGCCGTCATCCAGGATTTGGAGAGAAAACTGCGCTTTAAAGAGGAGCGCATAAGCAATGGTCAACAGGTGTGTGTGTGTGTGTGTGTGTGTGTGTGTGTGTGTGTGTGTGTGTGTGTGTGTGTGTGTGTGCTAACCTTATTCAATTCCTGAGACAGGTGTGTGTTTGCAGGTCATTAACAGAGATTAACAAGCAAAAGTCGTACAGCGATTCATGACAGGAAACTGTTTAATACCAGCCTCTGTTTTCATGCACCTTCAAATAAAATCATAATGTTTTCTTCATCCTGATTAACACGAGGCTTAGATACAGTAGCTAGCTGATGATGTGTTTAAGTGTGTGTTCTGCAACTCACACACTAACCCCCCCCATCCCGCTGACCCCATTAATCCCTGCTTCCAGAGGTTAACCTATGAGGAGAAGATGGCTCGCAGGCTGCTGGGTGCTGACAACGCTGCCACAGTCTTAAACACACAGGACACAGAGGAGGAGCCAGTCACACAGGTATGGTGGCTCTTTTATCAGGTGGCACACAGCTAGAGAAATCACACACACACACACACACACACACACACTCATATACGATCATCTCCCAGTGTTGCATGTGTACGACACAAGCACCTTTCTGTCTTCAGTCTTGTCCACTGATACTTGGCCGGTGTCATTCCTGTCTCATGAGCACTGGCTTTCCTTTACATACTGCTGAGCCAGAGAGCGCCCCGACCCTCAGTCCCTGTAAACACTGCTGAGGAGCGAGTTATGAAAGCAGGGTATAAACACTGTAACGTCCTCCAGAGCCCTCCATAAAAAGCTCTGTTTATGCAAACTGGTAGAAACAAGTGTTGCTACAAACATGTTGGGGAGAAACGCTGTTCGAAGGCTCCTGAGCCACCAAAGATTCCTGTGGACGTGCATGAGGGAGAGTCGCATCTTCGACGCAGAGTCAGTCACTTATTCACCAATGAACTGACAGTTAAAGCTCCATCCAGTGTAAAGGTCTATGTCCATGTGTAGTGTGATTATAGATCAGGTCTAGCTTCTATATTAATACTGTGAAAGTATCAAAGCCTCAGTCCACAGAGAAATGCACACAGCCTGTATTCAGAAACTGAGCCTTAAAACCAGCCGTCAGGACTTCTGGAACTTTGTGATGTCACAACAAAGCAGTCCCCAAGCCCCAACCACCTTTACCTGAAATCTGCTATATTTTTATTGGATCACTCAGAAAACAGAAAACAGCTCACCGACATGTTGTTACTAGAGCTCCAGAGAGAAGCGTGGTGGTTTTTATATCTTCTTATGGATCAACGCTTTAAATAAAACACAGAAGAAGAAGAAAATATGGATCTTTAAAGGAAAATGCAGTTGTGTCTACGCAGTTAAAGTAAATGGTCGTTGCGGGACTCTTGCTCCTTCCTTAGATTTTTACTACATTTGTAATGAATTTACTTGTTTACATTTAATTTGTAATCGGCTCAGATAATCCACAGTAGCAGAAAGGATGAAACCTCGATTTCAAAAGTGTCAGTTTTCTTGTGTAAAGTCAGTCAAAGTTTGTGATAATGTAAATGTTATACGACATTAACTGGCAGTGAATGACACAGTATTCTCCTTTAACAGAACGCACACTCTGATAAAGTCACTGGAAAACACTGTGCACTCATAACAAACATCACTAGAGCGCAGGTTGTGTCCATGATGACGGATTAGCACCGTGACATCCCAGTGTGATGTTGGCATGAGAGACAGTGTGAGTGGTTGTGAAGCTGCACGGCTCTCAGCTCAACTCTAAGCCTTCTAACGTGGCATCGTGACACATCTGTATTTTCATACTGTGTCCGGCATGTGCTTGAGAATGTTTTTGTTTTTGAGAGCAGGCGAGATTAAAACATGTGAACACACTGAAACACACATAGAAAAATAAACTATGTGTCCCACCCTGTGTGAAGCTCTGACAGCACCATGCACACAAAACCTCTTTTTTTCTCTCAACAGGAAGACAAGTCATCTGGTAGAGACTCTTACCCTCAAAAGGTTATTGAAGCATTAGTTGTTTTTTTTTTATGTCACCTTCTGGGTTTTTATTCACTGTGTGTAAATGTGTCACGCTGACATCACGATCAGACCTGGAAACGAGCTGATGAGGGAACATACCCACTGGTTGTATAGTTGTGTATATTTTGATATAGTATATTTTGTTCTATATTGTGTGTGTGTGTGTGTGTCTAAACTCGACCCCGTCACCATTTACTGTTTGTTGTAGTTCAGTATATGTGGTATGAATTCAGATACTGAAGCATGTTAAAGCTCGATCGCAACACAAGCATCTATCAGCACATTTGCTTTTAAACAGGCTGATCTTTTTCTCCTGACTTTGCACAATGCATGCTGCAGTGTTACTTTTATAAGATCTGAGGGGGAACATGCTGCAGCAGCTGCCCGGGATCATGCCTCAGAGGGTCAGGACGGGCCACTTGTGTGATTGCTGTCGTTCTGAGCGGCACAGTGAGTTCAGGAGGATTTAAATGCTGGCTCTGCAGCTGTGCCCGAGGCCTGTCATTATCTGTGTGATGTGTCATCAGACCGCGCTGCTCTGCAGATGTTCCCTCCGCCTCAGCAAAGCTGCAGTGATGAGAGATCGGTGGAGATGGCGGGAAGGAGGAGTGGCTCATCTGGGGAAGAAGGAGAATTAGGGAATGACAATGAAGACCCACATGATCACACCAACTTTCTCTCAAACTTTCTTCTTCTCTGTCTGTCTCTGGCGTGTAGGAATACAAAGTGTCCAGCTTCGAGCAGCGTCTGATCAGCGAGATTGAGTTTCGACTGGAGCGCTCTCCGGTGGAGGAGTCCGACGATGACGTGCAGCACGATGAAGACTCTGCTGGGCGGGGGGTGGTGCCCTCCTTCAATCAGAAGCTCAAACACTACAAAGTCTTTGAGGGCATGCCCGTCACCTTCTCCTGTAAGGTCAACGGGGACCCCAAACCGAAGGTGGGAGCACCGACATGTTACTCAATGAATGATTAAACATGGCAGTTATTGTTTTTAGATAAATGTGATGTAGTTTTGACTTAGCTTTGGCTTCCTTGCTCGGGAGTTGCTGATGTGTGATGCTGATGATGGAGGGTGTAGATACCATGTGTAGGCGTGCACACATGTGTTGTGATAAGGGGGGGGGCCTGGGCGTGTGGCCCGGCTCGGTCCACATTAATAATGTGGTGTCGACAGACCTCAGGATGAACCGAGGAAATCAGAGTAAAGCAGAGTGATAGCAGCGGAAGAGGGAGAGAACATCACATTAAAACAATCCAAATATTAGATTTAAAAAATGTTCATGCATAGTTTGGATAAATGTCTGTCACCAGCTTAAGATCTGTCTGTTAGACATTAGCTGGCCTGATAGTTTTAGTCTGTTCTTTCTTGTGTTTCAGGTCTACTGGTTTAAAGACGGCAAGCAGATCTCCAAGAGGAGCGAGCACTACAGGATCAGCCGTGAGCCTGACGGGACCTGCTCCCTGCACACGGCTGCAGCCTCGCTGGATGATGACGGCAACTACACCATCATGGCAGGCAACCCTGAGGTGAGCAGACACGTACAGAGCCCTGGAAATGCCCCAAACACACAACATCAAAAATCTGAAAGAAGGTTTCTGTGCAACTCCCGTCTGTTTGGCCGCCTGTGCGAGATGCCAGCGCTCATTAGCGAGAATAATGAGCATTAAGATAATGGTCTCCGGCCTGAGGAGGAAGAGGGCGTTGAATGAGATAGGAAATCACTAAAGCTCTCATGAGGGTCGAAAGTTTATGTGCTACAGGCCTTTTCCAGCTTAACACTCACATTTGATTTCCTCCTCCCAGTCTGACTGCTGCTTGTTGTGTGGCGGAGTGTCAACACCTCATAAGCTCCCTCTCTCTCTCTCTCCCTCCCTCTCTCCCTCTCTCTTCTCCCCCACAGGGCAGGGTGAGCTGCACCGGCAGGATGATGGTCCAGGCGGTGAACCAGCGGGGCCGCAGCCAGCGCTCGGCACCTGGACACATGCGCAGGTGAGGCTTGGATGACTGACAGGCGAGGGGGAGGGAGAAGACGAACAAAACCGCCTGGTATTTTATTCACAGCCCTGAGCTGCTGGCTGGCACATGTGCTGCAGGCCGCTGCTCACCATCTGCACGACTTCTGTACTGGCACTTCTGCACACATTTAAAAGTGTGTTAGTCTGATGTAAAATGTTCCAAGACGCTGCTATTTACACAAGTGTTTGCTGTGAGCTGAGTCACACTTTGTTCTTTGTTGGGCTGTCTGTTCGGGGAAGAAAAGCTCGGTGTTAATGAGAGGGAACACCTGTTTGCTCTGCTTTTTCATTGCTCTAATGACTCTGTATATACAATATGCATTCACCCAGATATTGAGAAATGCACAGACGATCACAGACGCCCTTCACGGGACATAAAAAAACACCTGTAATCTGTTATCTAGATGAACACTCCCTGATTAGACAAGAGCTCAGAGATGTTTGGAGTGAGATCCAGATAACAATCAGTGTCTCCTAACTCTCTTTATTTCCCTCCCTAGTTGACGTGCAGGCAAGGGTGGTGATGTCATTGTTGTTATAGTGGAGAATCACAGGAACACCTATGGGTCCTGACCTGCTGCACGAGGCTGAGGAGACTCACATTGATCAAGAAAGAGCAAGTGGCAGAACGCCAGAGCAGAAACGAGGGCAAAAGGGGCCCAAAAGTTCCTATTGTGTCTGTGAAAGGGGGAAATATAAAAGTGAGGGAGAATGTGGAGAAAGTGTTATTTAAAGGAGTATTGCATTGTTTCTACTTCCTGAAAAAACATTGAGATTCATGCTCCAAAGAGAGTTCACTCAACAAACGAATACTGAGTCTCTAAAAGCCAGAATTTGTTGATATTCTCCAATAAAATTTGTCTTTTTTTGACGAAACTAAAACAAGTTTTATGGTGAAATTTGACCTTTTTTCAAATAGAATTTTTTTTATTTTTTATGTGAAATATTGTATGTGTCCTTCTCTCTATCAGGCCCAGGTCCAGGTCTAGAGACAGCGGCGATGAGAACGATAACATCCAAGAGCGTCACTTCCGCCCACACTTCCTGCAGGCGCCCGGTGACCTCATCGTTCAGGAGGGCCGACTGTGCCGGATGGACTGCAAGGTAAATACTGAGTGCAGCCTCCGCACAACACAGGTGTGCAATGTGATTAAAAAAAAAAGGGGTGGGTAGAAAGGTCAGTGTGTTGCCCGGTCTTGGCTGCGTCTAAACAATTTCCATATAAAACAGCTGTTATTTATTGATTGGGATGATTTATTGATCACTAAGAAAGAAAATGTGAAGTGTTTTCAGTCAGAGCTGCTGCGTACTGAAGGACATTCTTAAAACTTCAAAGGAAGAGAAGACAAATTATACACTGTGTTTTTTGGTCTAGTGTGGCGTGTCAGGCAATGAACTTTAATGTTTTTATACATGGTCGCGGTTTCAAGGGCCTTTTTTGTGGAAGAGTGTCATGTCAATCTTTGTATTTCAGTCCTCAGCCTTGTTACTGGAAGTGAAGTCTAATGACATAACAGTTTAAAATAGTGAGGTAATTTAGCTGACAACCAAACTTCTACCATAGACAGTCCTCTAACCGTGCTGCTGTTCTTTCATAAAAGAAAGAAATGGTTCAGAATAACTGAGACATGACTGCAGAGGAAAATGCCTGCACCAAAGAGCATATGTTAATCATAGTAATAGAGAAAGCCATTTCAGATCCGCCCTTTAATTCAGTGTCTGCGTTGCTCTCAGGGAGGCTCCGTGACGACGCTGCCAAAGAAACATTTGGATTCCAGTTTAGGGGATAAAAAAACTAGCCGAGACGAGATGTTTCATCACCTCTGTATTCTCATGGCAGACGATGAGAATACAGAGGTGTCACATTTCAGACCTTAAGTGGGATCAGGTTTTCTACAATTATTTTTCCCTGCTGCACCACCCCCACCCTCCCCACACCAACACTTGTGCTGATTTTCTGTCTTCCTCCGCCGCCTCCCTGCAGCCTGCAGCACTTAAAACTTCTCTTTGAAAACTGGTACATGTAATAAAATAAAACAGACCCACAATTAACTCACTATAAAAAGGCTGTTTTTTTATGCTTGTCAGAAATAAACTGAGAGCCTCCATTCCCTCTGAGCCCTTAATGTCAAGGGTATTTATAGCAAATATTTATTTCCAGATCATTTGTGGGTTTCTAAACTTTCCATGCTCAAAATGCCCCAACTTCTAAAAGCGTACTGGGTCGCTTCCAGAAATACTTATCACTGCTTAGTCTGCGCTCCTGTGTGATATCTGTGAATACATGCATAGCCATGGTGGATGTGCATCCAGGTGCGCAGGGAGGAGCCGAACAGGTGTTGGGTTTTTTTTTTTGCAAAGAGAGAGGTCTTTTCTCTGCACAGTTAATTCCCATGACAAAATGAGCCGGCGACCAGGCTCCTCCAGACAAACACAACACAGACAGAATAACCAAACACTGCTGTTTTCATACTCCCAACAAACACACACTGCCCCCACAGGACACACATGCAGCTAATATACTAATTTTCTCCAACAAAAACAAGCAGTGACTCCACAAACTCAAAGCATCCTTCACTGATTTAGCAAGAATTCACATATCCAGCCAGTTTTAATGTTTGCTGTGTTTTCTTCACCACCTGCAGGTGAGCGGCCTGCCCACTCCAGACCTCATCTGGCAGCTGAACGGACAGACCATCCGCCCAGACTCCGCCCATAAGATGCTGGTGAGGGAAAACGGTGTGCACTCATTGGTCATTGAGCCCGTGACCAGCCGGGACGCAGGTATCTACACCTGTATCGCCAGCAACCGAGCCGGGCAGAACTCCTTCAACCTGGAACTCATTGTTGCAGGTAAACATAAGCACAAGGGTGTAGGTTTGGTCTCAACATTGGTAGAGACGCAACAACACCACCACCCCTCTAAAACAAAGAGATTGGCTTTTTAATTCTGTCAACCATGTTTATGAACATATAAGATCTGAATTTACATTCAGGAATGCCCATATGCACATGTTATATATGTACATGTGTTAAATTTCCATATATGAGATATATGTACATTTGAAGTAAAATCATAAATGTATTTAAAGTATAGCCCATATGTAAAAATTACATATGAAACCTGTTAGACAATATCATATATTGACATATATGTCTGATTAATAGAAACATGTATTTTAGTATGTCTTTTATATATTATAGACATATATTACATATATCCATCCCAAAGCCTGTCAGTACATGTTCATATTAGATATATAAATATAAAAGATACACATGTATGTTTAAATTTAAAAAGAACTTATTAAGAAAATCATATACATAGTATATACAAATATACAAATACATGTACAAATACAAAAAACAAGAAATTTAATAGGCATTTTGTTTTAATAAAGTTGCATTTTACTATGAGTATTTCATATATGTTATAAACGTATATCTTCACATAACCAGAGGATGTTTATACAGTATGTCATGATAATCTATCCTCTTATAAGACACATATGGTAACATCACTCTTGATATTGGGATAATATATATGTCATATATATGTCACATAAGTCATAGTACAGTAAGACATTTTTGATGCCGTACTGTACTATGAGGTTTTAACAACATTTTTGATGCTTTACTATACTATGATGTTTTTATCACATTTTTGACTCCTTACTATACTATGATGTTTTTATCACATTTTTGACTCCTTACTATATTATGACGATTTTTTTTATAGTTATGATGACTTACTATAATATGACGTTTTTATCACATTTTTGACGCCTTACTTTACTATGACGTTTTTATCACATTTTCGATGCTTATTTATAACTATGACATTTTTATCACATTTTTGATGCCTTACCATACTATGACGTTTTCATCACATTTTTGACGTTGTACTATACCATGACAGTTTTATGACATTTTTGATGCCTTGCTATACTATGATGTTTTTACGACATTTTTGACGTTGTAATATACTATGACGTTTTTATCGCATTTTTGATGCCTTACTATACTATGACGTTTTTATCGCATTTTTGATGCCTTACTATACTATGACGTTTTTATCACATTTTTGACGTTGTACTATACTATGACGTTTTTATCGCATTTTTGATGCCTTACTATACTATGACGTTTTTATCGCATTTTTGATGCCTTACTATACTATGACGTTTTTATCGCATTTTTGATGCCTTACTATACTATGACGTTTTTATTGCATTTTTGATGCCTTACTATACTATGACGTTTTCATCGCATTTTTGATGCCTTACTATACTATGACGTTTTTATCACATTTTTGACGTTGTACTATACTATGACGTTTTTATCGCATTTTTGATGCCTTACTATACTATGACGTTTTTATCGCATTTTTGATGCCTTACTATACTATGACGTTTTTATCGCATTTTTGATGCCTTACTATACTATGACGTTTTTATCGCATTTTTGATGCCTTACTATACTATGACGTTTTTATCGCATTTTTGATGCCTTACTATACTATGACGTTTTTATCGCATTTTTGATGCCTTACTATACTATGACGTTTTTATCGCATTTTTGATGCCTTACTATACTATGACGTTTTTATCGCATTTTTGATGCCTTACTATACTATGACGTTTTTATCGCATTTTTGATGCCTTACTATACTATGACGTTTTTATCGCATTTTTGATGCCTTACTATACTATGACGTTTTTATCGCATTTTTGATGCCTTACTATACTATGACGTTTTTATCGCATTTTTGATGCCTTACTATACTATGACGTTTTTATCGCATTTTTGATGCCTTACTATACTATGACGTTTTTATCGCATTTTTGATGCCTTACTATACTATGACGTTTTTATCGCATTTTTGATGCCTTACTATACTATGACGTTTTTATCACATTTTTGATGCCTTACTATACTATGACGTTTTTATCACATTTTTGATGCCTTACTATACTATGATGTTTTTATCACATTTTTGATGCCTTACTATACTATGACGTTTTTATCACATTTTTGATGCCTTACTATACTATGACGTTTTTATCACATTTTTGATGCCTTACTATACTATGACGTTTTTATCACATTTTTGATGCCTTACTATACTATGACGTTTTTATCACATTTTTGATGCCTTACTATACTATGACGTTTTTATCACATTTTTGATGCCTTACTATACTATGACGTTTTTATCACATTTTTGATGCCTTACTATACTATGACGTTTTTATCACATTTTTGATGCCTTACTATACTATGACGTTTTTATCGCATTTTTGATGCCTTACTATACTATGACGTTTTTATCACATTTTTGATGCCTTACTATACTATGACGTTTTTATCGCATTTTTGATGCCTTACTATACTATGACGTTTTTATCACATTTTTGATGCCTTACTATACTATGACGTTTTTATCGCATTTTTGATGCCTTACTATACTATGACGTTTTTATCGCATTTTTGATGCCTTACTATACTATGACGTTTTTATTGCATTTTTGATGCCTTACTATACTATGACGTTTTTATCGCATTTTTGATGCCTTACTATACTATGATGTTTTTATTGCATTTTTGATGCCTTACTATACTATGACGTTTTTATTGCATTTTTGATGCCTTACTATACTATGACGTTTTTATTGCATTTTTGATGCCTTACTATACTATGACGTTTTTATCGCATTTTTGATGCCTTACTATACTATGACGTTTTTATCGCATTTTTGATGCCTTACTATACTATGACGTTTTTATCGCATTTTTGATGCCTTACTATACTATGACGTTTTTATCGCATTTTTGATGCCTTACTATACTATGACGTTTTTATCGCATTTTTGATGCCTTACTATACTATGACGTTTTTATCGCATTTTTGATGCCTTACTATACTATGACGTTTTTATCGCATTTTTGATGCCTTACTATACTATGACGTTTTTATCGCATTTTTGATGCCTTACTATACTATGACGTTTTTATCGCATTTTTGATGCCTTACTATACTATGACGTTTTTATCGCATTTTTGATGCCTTACTATACTATGACGTTTTTATCGCATTTTTGATGCCTTACTATACTATGACGTTTTTATCGCATTTTTGATGCCTTACTATACTATGACGTTTTTATCGCATTTTTGATGCCTTACTATACTATGACGTTTTTATCGCATTTTTGATGCCTTACTATACTATGACGTTTTTATCGCATTTTTGATGCCTTACTATACTATGACGTTTTTATCGCATTTTTGATGCCTTACTATACTATGACGTTTTTATCGCATTTTTGATGCCTTACTATACTATGACGTTTTTATCACATTTTTGACGTTGTACTATACTATGACGTTTTTATCACATTTTTGACATTGTACTATACTATGACGTTTTTATCACATTTTTGACGTTGTACTTTACTATGACATTTTTATGACATTTTTGACGTTGTACTATACTATGACATTTTTATTGCATTTTTGATGCCTTACTATACTATGATGTTTTTATTGCATTTTTGATGCCTTACTATACTATGATGTTTTCATCACATTTTTGACGTTGTACTATACTATGACATTTTTATTGCATTTTTGACATTGTACTATACTATGACATTTTCATCACATATTTGATGTTGTACTATACTATGACGATTTCATCACATTTTTGATGCCTTACTATCCTATGACGTTTTTATGATATTTTTGACGCCTTACTATACTATGACGTTTTCATCACATTTTTGACGTTGTACTATACTATGACGTTTTCATCACATTTTTGACATTGTACTATACTATGACATTTTCATCACATATTTGATGTTGTACTATACTATGACGATTTCATCACATTTTTGATGCCTTACTATCCTATGACGTTTTTATGATATTTTTGACGCCTTACTATACTATGACGTTTTCATCACATTTTTGACGTTGTACTATACTATGACGTTTTCATCACATTTTTGATGTTGTACTATACTATGACATTTTTATCACATTTTTGATGTCGTACTTTACTATGACGATTTTATCACATTTTTGATGACTTACTATACTATGACGTTTTTTGATATTTTTGACGTTGTACTATACTATGAAGATTTTATCAAATTTTTGATGCCTTACTATACTATGATGTTTTTATCACATTTTTGATGCCTTACTATACTATGACGTTTTTATTGCATTTTTGATGCCTTACTATGCTATGATGTTTTCATCACATTTTTGACGTTGTACTATACTATGACGTTTTTATGACATTTTTGACACCTTACTATACTATGATGTTTTCATCACATTTTTGACTTTGTACTATTCTATGACATTTTCATCACATTTTTGATGTTGTACTATACTATGACGTTTTTATCACATTTTTGATGTTTTACTTTACTATGACGATTTTATCCAGTTTTTGATGCCTTACTATACTATGATGTTTTTATCACATTTTTGACTCCTTACTATATTATGACGATTTTTTTTATAGTTATGATGACTTACTATAATATGACGTTTTTATCACATTTTTGACGCCTTACTTTACTATGACGTTTTTATCACATTTTCGATGCTTATTTATAACTATGACATTTTTATCACATTTTTGATGCCTTACCATACTATGACGTTTTCATCACATTTTTGACGTTGTACTATACCATGACAGTTTTATGACATTTTTGATGCCTTGCTATACTATGATGTTTTTACGACATTTTTGACGTTGTAATATACTATGACGTTTTTATCGCATTTTTGATGCCTTACTATACTATGACGTTTTTATCGCATTTTTGATGCCTTACTATACTATGACGTTTTTATCGCATTTTTGATGCCTTACTATACTATGACGTTTTTATCACATTTTTGACGTTGTACTATACTATGACGTTTTTATCGCATTTTTGATGCCTTACTATACTATGACGTTTTCATCGCATTTTTGATGCCTTACTATACTATGACGTTTTTATCACATTTTTGACGTTGTACTATACTATGACATTTTTATTGCATTTTTGATGCCTTACTATACTATGATGTTTTTATTGCATTTTTGATGCCTTACTATACTATGATGTTTTCATCACATTTTTGACGTTGTACTATACTATGACGTTTTTATCACATTTTTGACGTTGTACTTTACTATGACATTTTTATGACATTTTTGATGCCTTGCTATACTATGACATTTTTATTGCATTTTTGATGCCTCACTATACTATGATGTTTTCATCACATTTTTGATGCCTTACTATCCTATGACGTTTTCATCACATTTTTGACATTGTACTATACTATGACATTTTCATCACATATTTGATGTTGTACTATACTATGACGATTTCATCACATTTTTGATGCCTTACTATCCTATGACGTTTTTATGATATTTTTGACGCCTTACTATACTATGACATTTTTATCACATTTTTGATGTTGTACTATACTATGACGTTTTTATCACATTTTTGATGTTTTACTTTACTATGACGATTTTATCACATTTTTGATGCCTTACTATACTATGACATTTTTATGATATTTTTGACGCCTTACTATACTATGATGTTTTTATTGCATTTTTGATGCCTTACTATACGATGACGTTTTCATCACATTTTTGATGTTGTACTATACCATGACAGTTTTATCACATTTTTGATGTTGTACTATACTATGACATTTTTATCACACTTTTGATGACTTACTATAATATTACGTTTTTATGAAATTTTTGATGCCTTATTATACTATTACATTTTTATGACATTTTTGACACCTTACTATACTATGACATTTTTATCACATTTTTGATGTCGTACTTTACTATGACAATTTTATCACATTTTTGATGACTTACAATACTATGACGTTTTTTGATATTTTTGACGTTGTACTATACTATGAAGATTTTATCAAATTTTTGATGCCTTACTATACTATGATGTTTTTATCACATTTTTGATGCCTTACTATACTATGACGTTTTTATTGCATTTTTGATGCCTTACTATACTATGATGTTTTCATCACATTTTTGACGTTGTACTATACTATGACATTTTCATCACATATTTGATGTTGTACTATACTATGACGTTTTTATCACATTTTTGATGCCTTACTATACTATGACGTTTTTATTACATTTTTGATGCCTTACTATACTATGATGTTTTCATCACATTTTTGACGTTGTACTATACTATGACGTTTTTTTGACATTTTTGACGTTGTACTATACTATGACGATTTTATCACATTTTTGACATCTTACTATACTATGATGTTTTGATTGCATTTTTGATGCCTTACAATACTATGACGTTTTTATGACATTTTTGACACCTTACTATACTATGATGTTTTGATTGCATTTTTGATGCCTTACAATACTATGACGTTTTTATTGCATTTTTGATGCCTCCTATGATGTTTTGATTGCATTTTTGATGCCTTACAATACTATGACGTTTTTATGACATTTTTGACACCTTACTATACTATGATGTTTTTATCACATTTTTGATGCCTTACTATACTATGACGTTTTTATTGCATTTTTGATGCCTTACTATACTATGATGTTTTTATTGCATTTTTGATGCCTTACTATACTATGATGTTTTCATCACATTTTTGACGTTGTACTATACTATGACGTTTTCATCACATTTTTGACGTTGTACTATACTATGACATTTTCATCACATTTTTGATGTTGTACTATACTATGACGTTTTTATCACATTTTTGATGTTGTACTTTACTATGACGATTTTATCACATTTTTGATGCCTTACTATACTATGATGTTTTTATGATATTTTTGACGCCTTACTATACTATGATGTTTTTATCACATTTTTGATGCCTTACTATACTATGATGTTTTTATGATATTTTTGACGCCTTACTATACTATGATGTTTTTATCACATTTTTGATGCCTTACTATACTATGATGTTTTTATGATATTTTTGACGTCTTACTATACTATGATGTTTTTATTGCATTTTTGATGCCTTACTATACTATGACGTTTTCATCACATTTTTGATGCCTTACTATAATATGATGTTTTCATCACATTTTTGACGTTGTACTATACTATGATGTTTTTATCACATTTTTGATGCCTTACTATACTATGACGTTTTTATGATATTTTTGACGCCTAACTATACTATGACGTTTTTATCACATTTTTGACGTTGTACTATACTATGACGTTTTTATGACATATGACATTTTTGACGTTGTACTTTACTATGACATTTTTATGACATTTTTGACGTTGTACTATACTATGACGTTTTTATTGCATTTTTGATGCCTTACTATACTATGATGTTTTTATTGCATTTTTGATGCCTTACTATACTATGATGTTTTCATCACATTTTTGACGTTGTACTATACTATGACGTTTTTATTGCATTTTTGATGCCTTACTATACTATGATGTTTTTATTGCATTTTTGATGCCTTACTATACTATGATGTTTTCATCACATTTTTGACGTTGTACTATACTATGACGTTTTCATCACATTTTTGACGTTGTACTATATATGACATTTTCATCACATATTTGATGTTGTACTATACTATGACGTTTTTCTCACATTTTTGATGTTGTACTTTACTATGACGATTTTATCACATTTTTGATGCCTTACTATACTATGACGTTTTTATGATATTTTTGACGCCTTACTATACTATGATGTTTTTATTGCATTTTTGATGCCTTACTATACTATGATGTTTTCATCACATTTTTGACGTTGTACCATACTATGACGTATTTATCACATTTTTGACGTTGTACTATACTATGATGTTTTTATGACATTTTTGACGTTGTACTTTACTATAACATTTTTATGACATTTTTGACGTTGTACTATACTATGACATTTTTATTGCATTTTTGATGCCTTACCATACTATGATGTTTTTATTGCATTTTTGATGCCTTACTATACTATGATGTTTTCATCACATTTTTGACGTTGAACTATACTTTGACGTTTTCATCACATTTTTGACATTGTACTATACTATGACGTTTTCATCACATTTTTGATGTTGTACGATACTATGACAGTTTTATGACATTTTTGACGTTGAACTATACTATGACGTTTTCATCACATTTTTGACGTTGTACTATACTATGACAGTTTTATGACATTTTTGATGTTGTACTATACTATGACGTTTTTATCACATTTCTGATGCCTTACTATACTATGATGTTTTTTTTACATTTTTGATGCTTTACTATACCATGACTTTTTTATTGCATTCTTGATGCCTTACTATACTATGACGTTTTTGTCACATTTTTGATGACTTACTATAATATGACATTTTTATGACATTTTTGACGCCTTACTATACTATGATGTTTTTATTGCATTTTTGATGCCTTATCACATTCTTGACATTGTACTATACTATGATTTTTTGATGGGGAGGCATGGTTGTACAGTGGTTAAAGCAATTACCTCATTCTTAGAAGGTTCTGGGTTCAAACCCTGGGCTGGGGCTTCACCGTAAGTTGACTTACTATGAGTTTTTATGTCCCTACCTTCATTATGAAAACCTACATCCTTGCAGAAGCACTTGTGTGTGTGTGTGTGTGTGTGTGTGTGTGTGTGTGTGTGTGTGCAGAGATACATGTAAGCATGGTTTGAACTAAGAGTTACACACTCTCTCTACAGCCAAAGAAATGCACAAGGCCCCTTCGTTTATTGAGAAGCTGCAGAACACGACCGTGGCTGAGGGTCATCCTGTGCGTCTGGAGTGTCGCGTCACTGGAGTGCCCTATCCACAGATCTTCTGGAAGAGGGAGAATGAGTCTTTCACTCACAACACAGACAGAATCAGGTAAATAAACGATGAAGAGTCAGCAGTTCAAATAGCACACACGGTCTGTAACTTCTGCCTCGAGGGGTCTCACATCAAAACAATAACAAAAGAAAGCATTTGGTGATGTCTTGACATAGTGTGGGATCATGGGAGTTGTTGTCTTCACCACCATTACCGTAAGCTCCTCCCAGTTTGGATTCCTTCAGCGTCAGTAGTTCAGGAAATCAAACAGACCCAGTGATTACATCCGTTACAACCACTTAATAAAGCAGTTATACGGAGGACAGAGACTCAGGGAAGAGCTGGAGCTGAGATTGATGCTAACCTTTGTTTTGATTGTTTCTCTGATAACTTATGAACCAGATGTTCAGGTTTTTACCAGCAGCTGAATTTTTACACAGAGGTGTCCTCCTCGCCATAACAAACACACCAGGGGATTAAAACCAATAGAAACACTGAGTAAAGCAGTTTCACATTAAAACTCAAGAGATTCACTGACGCTCTTCAGTAACACAGGACAGGACGTCTCCAGCATCTGGGAGCTGAGCTGTCTAACATTTCCTCAGCTTGTTTCTCTGATACTGACACATGATCATAGAGGACACTGACAGGCAACCAATGAAATGTACCTTTACCATGATTAAAATCACAGATTTTTCTGGTCTGAAATTGAAAATGTAAGAACACAACTCAACAACATAAAGAACACAAGTCCAGTTGTTTGTAGACACTTTAATGTGGAAAAGTTACAGATTATAACTTTAATACTCGCTTCAGTCAACATTCATATGGTGTTTAGAATATTCAAACAGTCCCTTCTTGTGTCAATCTTCTTTCCCAGCATGCACCAGGACAACTGTGGCTACCTGTGTATGATCATCCAGCCAGCCATGAAAGAGGACGCTGGCTGGTACACCGTGTCAGCCAAGAATGACGCAGGCATCGTGTCCAGCACTGCACGCCTCGACATCCACAGTAAGTTTCCACCGGTGAACTCTCGCTGCTCATCGGACCGTTCGGCCTTTACTTCCTGTCCACTCATGACGTTTTTAACCTCCTGCTCTGTCCTCAGCTCAGTGGCAGCAGCCCAACCTCCCCAAGCCCAAGAAGGTGCGTCCCTCCACCAGCCGCTACGCCGCACTGACGGAGAGAGGGCTGGACGTGAAGGCTGCCTTCTTCCCCGACTCCAGCCCGCTGCAGCCCGGCGGCCTGGTGGAAAGCGACGACCTGTAGAGGCCACAGGCAGGCGCGAGGAAAAACCCTGAGAGCTGCCCCTCGCTCGCTCCCAGCACTTCCTGAGAGAGATACTTTGACGGCATAGGGGGGAGGGGTGCAGAATATAACCTCGTCAACCATCATTGAACTGCAGATACAGAATACAGAGTGAGCTGGTGCAGCGGTGGTTTTCTTATGCTTTTATAGTACGACACAAACCGTTATATTACACAATTCATCAAGGTCTTTCCAAAAGCTTCATTTTATCGACTGGACCCGGAAAATGACTGAAGTGTTTACGGCGACAAAAGACCGTCTCATGAACTGTCGGCTGATTCTGATCTGCAGAGTGTCTCCTGTTCAAGTGCCTCTCGTCTCTGTAAAGATATAAAGAAAAAAAAAAAAAAAAAGCAGGTTGAAAAGTGAAATGAAACATAGAATTACTATGCATGTTCAAGTGGTGCCATTTACAATACACAGAGTAATACTGTATCTATGAGTAGCACTCCAGCGACTGTGTGTGGAGAACACTTCAAGAGAGACTGAGTGATTCAAAGCATCGTAGCTTTGACGAAGGAGATCACAGACTTTTATTATGTGGGCTTGTGTAGCACAGAGCCGATAGCTACAGCATCATAGTATCACAGTCTCAGCTTATTAGCTTACAGATATTGGACAAGGCCGGGCCTTACAAACAGTATGTTTAGTTTTTTTTGTTTTTGTTTTGGCAACAGAACTGAGGTTTAGGGGGGAAAAAAGAGAGAAAGCTTTCACATGGATGAGGTTTGTTTGTTTGTTGATGCAGCTGAACTCAAGAGAGTTTGGCTCAAACAGGAAGAGACAGACGGAAAAAGCAGGTTTTTGTAAAAAGGACTTTAATGTGGTGAGTGGGATGTGACTGACTGACGGTGGCAGTGGTGATGTAGAATAATGGAAAATATGGAAAACTTTTGGTGATGGCCGTTCATTATGGTGATGTTTTGTTTTTTTTTTCTTCTTCTTCTTCTTTGATGGTTTATTTTACAAGTGTGAATTGAAATGTTCTCACTGGAGAGAGGGTGCTGTGAAAGGTTTCAGTGTATTTGTCACACACATCACAGATTGTCCATTTTATTTTTGTATGGAAAAAAAAAAAACTAAATTTCTTTTCCCATCAATCTTGACATAAATTATATCAGCAGCCTTTTGTTCACTGATAAAAAACAACTTTCTGTATCATGAAGTTTTATAAATATATTTACTGCCTTAAATCACTTTTAGGCTTTAATGCAAACTCACTTTCTTTGCATGTTATTTTTGGACACTTGTACGGTGCCAAACAACTTTTACCAGAATGTACAAAAACACAGCTTTTTTTTTCCCAGCGTGGAGGAGCAGCAAACTCTCCTCAGCTGCTGAAAAGTGAAAAGCAAGGTATATTTATATCTACTATTTTTGTCACCTCTGTAATACTATACAAAGTGGACATCTTTTTCTGTGTCTGTTCGGAGCTTGCATCAGCTGACAGTTACTGTGTTTGCACATTTCTATGCCAATCAATGCCTGTATATGGATTGTTCTCCTGATATTATTTTAGGTTATGAAAGTTAATAAAAATCTCCTCAGACAGCGTGAGATGTTTTTATAGACCGGCAGAGAACGCCAAAAAACACACCATCAGTCACAGTGGAAAAAACATTCCTGCAAAGAATACTAATGAGAGTCTAATGGCATCCAGTCCTTTAATAGAAAATATGTTTACGATGCAAGTGCACACACAAGAGGGAGAGAAGCTGCTCGGCTACAGTGGCGGTTCTGATGCTAGCAGCAGGTTTCAGTGAAAAGAACAAGCAACACGCCATTTCAGATCTCATCGCCGAGCATGACAGTCACCTCCAACCTCATCCATCCACACTGCAGGACCAGAGCTGTAACCAGACACTCACAACATTCCCACAGCTAAAAATACCCCTCCACCTCCACCACCACCTCTAATTTCCTCCAGCTGCAGCCCGACATGCCTGGCCCCTCCACAGGCCCCGACAGAGGTGGGCTCAGGGGGGACTGCTGTTAAGGGGGGTGGGGGTGGGGGGGGTAACATGTGTCGGCCGTGAGGGGGATCTCTCCCGGGGGGGGGGCGCCTAACAGTCATGGAAAAAGACCAAGAGCGTTAAATCTACTGATCACATTCAGGATCTCAGGGCACCGAGGTCTGGACGGAGCCAGACACTCTGGAGGCAGCA